GCATTGTATTATCATTGCGCGTTTCCGATCGGGAAACTTGGGAAGCCAATTGTGGTGCCCCACCAGCCTTGCACCAGCAGGACGGCGTTGTGAGATACCATGGGGCAACAACCAGATGGCCCCAACCGCATGGCACAGCCATAGAACGCAGGCTGCCCAACAACATGGACCATCAACAATACTAATACTACTACAACGCCAGGCACACGTTTCCCGCCGTGCGACGCCCAAACCCATGGCGCTTCTCATACACAACGGCCCGATGCCAGCCATAGGGCGCCACCCATAGGGCACCATGTGGCATCGCTTGACGAATACTGACCGCATGGCGAAGTATCGGGGACCCTTCTTCAGGGCATGAAGTGGGTTGACCCCAGACGCTTTCGAAACAGTTGCGCGGTGTGCTATATGTATTCATGCACGTGTCGTGGCAACCAATCCCGCACTTAGTTTGGCGTTCTGGCTCACTCTCACGGTCTGCCGCGCTACTTTCACAGACATTGTACGGCCCCAAACACGCACCTAGAACTCCGAGAGAAACGCCCAATAGTGTTGGTTAACGATGTTCCCGACGCAGTCCGAGCGCGCCCCAGCGCGCCCAGGAGGGCCGAGGTTGCCAGACAGATGCACGGCCCCCCCAGAGCTCCCCGCGAAGGCGCATACGCAATGATGGGAAAAGGGAATATGTATCCTTCCGTTGTTTGAAGGGCGGTGGCGCTGTCGCGTTGTTATGCTTCCAACGCCTCATGGTTGCCTGAGAGACCCTCGATGGCAGCCTAGGGCGGCCACGTAGACAACCGAGGGGGCCCCAATGCGGACCAGTGGCGCATTCAGATTGTTAGCCAACGCCGCCCAGGAGGACCGAGACACCTGAGACGGCCCACCATAGAGCGCCCAAGGGGGCGGATGCGAGACGGCGTGCCGAGCTTGCCACCAAGGTGGCAGACATAGCCCACCAGAGGCCACCGACCGCCCCTCACCACCTAGAACAACACGCACGAAGCCTACGAAGTGACTCCAGGAGGCCTCAGGTAACCACTGGCACCCCAGACGCCCGCCAAGAATCCCCCAATGCCATCCACGAACCCACCGACAATCACCCCACGAGCCCCTCAGCGACATCCAAGGGGCTCCTGGAGGTCCTGGACCAGCCCGAACTTGGCGGCGGGGTGGGCCGAAGGCCTGAAAGCGCATGCTTGAGACATCCTCCAATGATGCTCGCAATTGGCACGTCGGGCTGGCACGGACGAATATAGGACGCACGATGCGCCGCCACTAGCAAGGCACATCGGCGCGAACCAACGCCATGCACAAGGGATATGGCTCATCTCAGAATGCTGGGACAGATGAGGAGAGCGAGCATTGACATTCACGCACCATCATATTACAAGTATGGGGCGGAACGGTGGTTGGCCCAGGGGAACGCGCCAACAATGAGCAGGAGGACGAGGACTGCGAGCAAGCCAAGGCTGACTGATAGGGTGTGTGCGAAAAGAGAGCTGGAGGAGGGTCGCCGTCGTCACGTGCCTAGCGCAGAGTTGCCACGCGTCGACGTGGTGCCCGACCCCCAGTTGAAGAGGCGTGAGTGTCCCGAGACCCAGATCGCATTTCCCGAGCCGATGGCATGGCCCATGGGTGGACGGCATCCCCCCCAGGAAACTGCGTGTGGTGTTGGTTCCCGTTCTCATTTCAAAGGTTGGGCCGACGCTAAAACTCGACCGTTTCAACTGTACTGCCATGGATTCGTGCGCCCGCGCCCGCCTCGAGCTCGACGTTGCCATCGTCCAGCTGCGCAGGGAGATCTGACCGAGGTCGAAGCCGAAGGAAGCTCGGGGAGTACGGTGAGAACGAGTGGTAACCGATGTGCAAGAACATGACGTCCGTCCTGGCGTCCACGGCTTCCCCAGCGGCTGCCGCCCACGGGTTGTCAATGGCAGGCCGTCTCCCCGTGAGTTTTGCAACCGCATCTCGATTCATCAGCAGGTCCATGTGGTAGGGGAAGTTCCTCTTGTTGAAGTGGAGTTTCATCTCACGTAAGAACCTGTTTCTGAACATGTAGGTCTGGTTCCCCTCTGGACTGCACAAGCATTGGCCTACCTCGTGACAAGGAGGCTTGCCTCGACGTTGCGGACGTGGTGGTAGAGGTTCGCACTCGTCATGTAGGATCGGCTTGTGCTTCCTCTTCCAGTCGGCATCCATGGTCTTCCCGAGGTTTGTCCGCTTGGAACTGTCATGCAACATCCTCACCATGGTCGCGCAGCAGTGGGTGTCGGGCACGAGGCTGATCGACAAAGTAGATGCTGTAGGTATCGGCGCCAACTCATTCGACAGCTGGTCGATCCCTGGAACGGCCTGCATGAACATCTCTTTCTGTGCGTTGAGTTGACTGACGTGCTGAGCCACGAAAGCTGCGTCCTTCGCAGCCCGCTGGCCAGCGACCTCCTTGCTGATGCGCTTCTCCCGCTTAACACGGTCGACCGCCTGCTGAACTGAAATCTCGCCTCTGTGGGCCTGCTCCATCGCCGACACTGCCTCGTCTTCAAGTGGAATGGGGTTCCCGCTGCTCGCGGCCAAGGCCCGCTGCACGGCAGCCTCATGCTGCTGCTGTCGCTGGTGGCGGCGCACTTCGCTCGTAGTAAGGCCGAAGCTCGAAGCTGGTCGATCCGTGCACTTCCTCATGTCCCTGTGCACCTCAGTGGCGCGACTCCCCTGCTCCTGCAACATCGCCTTCATCTCATCGCCGATGTGCTTGTACGCCTGTGCAAGGGCGCGCAGGTCGGGCCTGCCCTCTGTGCCACTCGACTCGTTGCGAATGTACGCCCTCCATGCACCGCCGCCTCCGGAATGCGACGCTTGGCGTCGGGCGTCGCCAGGCCGATGTCCAGGCGGTTGGGCAGCGCTCGCACCGTTGGGCAAGAACCACGCCGATGTAGCGACCGAGTGCCGAGCCTTCTCCAAAACAAACTCTGCGCTGAGCTGGTCAAGGTCGCACCCCTTGGTGTGCACGGACCTGGCGAAAATTCGACGTCGAATCGACGCGTGTCCAACCTCGATTCGGCTGATGCACACGTCAGCCATCATCAACAAGAGCTCGATGCGAGCACGCGTCACATGACTGTTCAACGTGCCGCCGTCCTTCTCAGTAATCTCGATGAAACGCCTCACGAACGGGTCAAGGATGCATTTCTTCACCTGGCTCATATAAGACGCGGGGTCCTCGGACTCCAGCATGACACGGAAGAACGCGAGCGGCATCGCATCGAAATGCCTCTCCAAAGTAGCCTCCATGCAGCAGCTGCTGGCCGACAGCAGCTTGAAGGCCATGCTCCTGTTAGAAAGGGTCTTGCAGTTGGGCGGCAACAGGTTATCCCAGAGCTCGCCGTTCATGAAAAATCTGTCCTGCTTCCCTCTGAAGCGCGTGTCCAGGAGCTTCCTCACTGCAACGCCCAATCGGTAATCCCTCATGGGGGCGGTGGCGTCCGCAGCCCGCACTGCGTCAACGTACTGCTGAGAATGCTCCCACGTGTCTGATGCCAAATGTAACTGCAAAGCAAGATAATCTCGCAATGGCTCCATCACTGTTCGGATGATGATGCACTGAGCTAGCGGGCGAGAGGCCAGCCATTCCCCTGCGAGGCGCCTGTGCATTTCATTGTCGACTGCAGACTTAGGAGGGTCCAACATGCGCTGAGGTACATCTCCCTCCGCCTGAGCAGCGCCAGCGTCAATGCCACCTCCGCGCTCGACGCCCTCAACTCCGTCGCCGCCGTCTGCGTCGCAGTCACCAGCTGCGCCCTCGGGGACCGCGCGGATGCTCCCCTTCCTCGAAATCCGACCAAACCTCTGGGCCTGAGTGGGCTAGATCGGCCCCTTTGCTTCATGGCGCTCGTCTTCCCCAATCGAGGGGGGGGGCAATCCCCCCCCCCCCCACCCTGGGCCTGGAGAGGGGGGTGGGGGGGGGGGGCGCGAGGTATCAGGGCTTCTTTTCGACTCTTGGGATGGTTGTTTCTGACACCCCTCACGAGGATCGTGGCATCCAGTGGTGGGGGAGAGGGAGGGGGCGCAGTTGACGCCGCTGCTTCGCATATTAGATCGCCTCCTAGATTGCCTCAAGGGGCGCAGTTGGCCATCCAAGACGCCCCCAGACACCCACCCCCCAAGAGCTTCGCGCAAGCTTTTCGGCGAAGGCTGCGAGAAGCTCTTGGGCGGCGCCTTGGAGCAGGCAGACAGCAAGAGGGGGCGAGAATGGGCGAAACAACGCATGCAAGGAACACAATAGGAACATAAAGGAAACATGGCACAGAAAGGAGGAAGGAACACACACCATCCTAAGGCCAAGTCCGTTCTCTGACCCAGTGCTGTAAGACGGGATCGCGGGACCTCGCGAAGCGTGAACGATGCGACTGGCAAATTGTGGGTACGTCGCTGAGCACAGACCGTGACAAGCCTCGAGGAGGAGGACCTGGTCCATCGCTTCATCTGATTTGGTCCATCTGTGCCTGGGCCACAACGTATATTTGCATGAAGCCCCAACTTGAATCAAAGCTGAAGAAACGCTATCGCTGACCCTGTCCCTATCGACCACGGCACCGACAGGCACCCAGACTTCGACTTCCTTCATGTTGTTCCAATCTCCATTCGGGAGGCCGTGCATGGCCATCAGCTTGTCGATGCGATGGGCGCTCCGTGCCAAACATATTCGCAGCATCTGAAGCCTGTGTTGATCCGAACCCGCTGGAGGGCTGCCGTACTTGATGCGCAACCGTTGCTTGATTGTGTTCTTCAGCTCCTGCCGCCAGATCAACAAACCAGTCCCATAATTGATGGAGAGAGCCCAGTGTATTTGACCACGGATGGCATTGTCCACCAAACCGAACACTTTCTTGAAACAGCCAGCCGTTTTATGCACCTGGCATTCGATCGATAGTCCGAGCCATCCGTCATCATCGGATTGCAGGTCGGATAGGATGTGGCGCTCAGCTTTCAAATTTGAAACAGCAGCATCCTCTACTACGAGCCTCACTTTCATTTTGAATTGACGGGATGGCTGCCCAACTGCTCTTGTCATTTTGCATGCTGCTTTGAGGCATTCCGCCGTTGTGCGGTCCATGTACTGCAGCCAGTTGAGGGTATTGCCAATACATATTGCAAACTGGTTGCGTGGATGTCCGCATTGCACCAACATGCCGAACTTGGACTCACTCTGCAAAATCTTGCGCGGCACCGTGGCGTCGGCTGAGAAATCCAGCGACCCGAAATCGTGATGAACAAGCTGTTGTCCTGGAAGGCCGCTGCCTTGGGACGACGGTGCCACGCTCTGCTCTGACAAGGAGTCCGTGGCGCGAGTGCGCACTGGCAGAGGTGTCTCGTCCGCTCTGTAGTAATCAACATACAGCAGCAAAGAGTCGCTGGGCATCTGAGCGACGAGGGCGTCCTCCAACTGTGACCGCGACGCGCGGCTTGATAGTATGAGTGCGTTTGCCGGCCGTTCTTTGTACCCCGTCAGTTGGCCTGCACGTACGCCCACAAGTTCTGCAGTAGAGATGGCGCTAGCCACCCGTTGGCACCGTGAAAACAGAAAATTTGCCAAACGATCGCAGTGGTGATCAGAGTCCGCCGTGCACGGGTTAAACCTGCAGTCTGAAACAATTCGTTTCGCCATGTTGCGGGCCATGCGGATGAATGGGAGCAGGGTGCTATCATCACGACCAAGTTGGCTGCTTGTGTCGTCTGGAATGTGCATCTTCATCCGCTTGGCCATGTCTGTCGGGTCGAGGCTGCAGTCGTCCAGCTGATATTGTTCGTCACGAAGCCTCCTGCGATCTGCATCTGGTGTGGGGTCGGCGACGAGTGCGTCAACTTGTGCGCCCCTATGCACATTCACGAGTCCAATGTCAGACTCGTCAGCTGCCTGATGAATATCAACTCCGAGGCGTGCAGCGTCCGCCCAGGAGGACATGATATGGAAGCATAAAAATAGGAGGATCATGGTTGGAAACCTCTGGATGGCCAAAATGGCTATGGGAGAACGTCGGCGGGGAGCGCTGGAAGCTGCAACAACATAACAATGTGGAACCAGGACCCCCTTCCCAATCCTACGAGGCGGCCGCGAAGTGGCAACGAGGCGGCACTGGCATCAATCGCGAATCCTCGGCGGACCCACCCGCCAACGCACGAGGCGGCAACGAGGCGGCAACGAGACGGGTTTGTCGGCAAGTTGACTGAACCTCGGCGGTGGACCCATCCAAATTGTGAAAGGCAAATTCGGACACCATAGGTGCAAGCTCGGTTTGGGGAGTCAGCGGAAACATCTGCGGGTCGGCAGATCGAATCAGGAAAGATGCCCGAGCGTTGCGATGGCCACTAGATGCTAGCACTTACAGGGGTTTCTTTGTTCTTCCTACTGATTCTGACGGCTCCGCCGACAGTTCCCCTCATTGCCGCCCATCGCCGCTTCGTTGCCGCCTTGTTGCCGCAACGCGCGCTTGACGGGTCAACCGAAATTGGGCCACGTTGTTGGCAGCGCCACCCCGTTGCCGCATTGTTAGATTCGTGCTGGGCGGGCCCGTCAATGGTCCGAAGCGTTTTCAATGCGGCTTGGACAAAACAACAGATCTCGTTTTCCGTCTCTCGATTAGCGCCGACAAATTCACACGTCGTGGCTTGCACCACGTGCTCCACAAACTCACCATATAAGAACAAACTGTTTGGAATCCACGCATGTTGGTCCAACAACCGTGGGATCCAAACAGTTTGTTCTTGTATCTGCATATGCAACATCTAGATATCCAACCCAAATATTATCAATCGCCCTGCGCATGACAAACACAGCAAAGCAGTGCGGCCCAGACATCTAGAGACACGGATTGAGAGAGGGATGTGATGAAGGAGGACATACGCGTTATCGTAGAGAAAGCAAATAACATACAGCATCCCGCCCGCCACTACTTGTGGCAAACGAACTCACCAACGGTACTGTCAACACGACTCCGCCGAGACTCTGAACATGAAGTTTTGGAGAATGGCCAAAAACATTTAAAACACTACTTAAGAGGGGACTTGCCCTGTAGCTCACAGTGGTTTCATAAACCTCCACCAGCAGACGCGCAGCCTCTGGGAAGGGCCGGTGACGCTGCCCTCGTATGTCGGTCTGCACCGCCATGATCCTGAGGTCGCCGCCTGGAGCCCCCGCAGCTGCGCCCATGAAAGGCGCGCCCGCAGGCGCTGCAGCCGCCGTGGGCACGGGCGCGGCGACTGGCGGCGCCGCGGGTGCTGCCGCCGCCGGGGCGCCGGGCGGTGGGGCGTCGGCTACCAGCGCGCCGCCGGCAGGTGGGCCCGCGAGGGCGGGCGGCGCGGCCACTAGGGCCCCACCGCCGGGGGCCGCGGCGGCGCCACTGCCGCCGCCTGCGAGGGCCGCAGCCAGCCCGTCCACGCCTCCTGCGGCGCCCGCGCCGCCGGCCGCGGCCGCGGCTCCTCCAGCGGCGCCAGCGGCCATCGGCACGATCGCCCGCCCGACGGTGTTGGGCACGACCGCCGGCTGCGCCCCGAGCCCGAGCATCGCGGCGGTGTCCTGCGCCCCCTGCGCCATCACCGGGCCGAGCGGGATCGCGTTGAAGCGATAGGTGGCATCGCCTCCGAGGGCCGCTGCTCCGCCACCGGCCGCGCCCCGGTCGCGCACGGTGCACTCTGCGACGTCGGCGCCACCGATCACGATCTCCACGTGCGCGCCCCCATCGGGCGTAAGGATCCCCACGCCCCACTTGGATGGCCGCGGCGGTTGCTAAGTACTTAACATACTTACTACGCTAAGTTAAGTACTTAGTAAGTAGTTAGCGGACTTAGCTAAGTACTTACTCAGTCATTACTAAGTGGCCCACTTAGTAATGACTTAGTAAGTACTTAGCTATCCACTTATAACCAGTTAGCTAAGTGCTTAGCGCACTTAGCTAACCACTTATAACCGCTTATAGCTAGTTTGCTAAGTAGGTTATAAGTGACTTAGCGGTTACATTGCACTTGTTATCCAAGGGCCATGCACAGGGAAAAAAGGTAAATCCACGTCTTGAAAGAGCTGAGTTTGTTCGTTGAGCGCTGCAGCGCTACAAATTTTGCATTTTGATTTGGAGTCGGTGTCCTGGATTTTTGCTTTAAATATGAGAAGCGCTGCAGCGCTGCCTTCGGATTTATATGAACATGAAGCGCTGCGTGCGCTGAATATGAAGCGCTGCAGCGCTGAATGTTGAGTTAAATGCATGTTTTCTAGTTGCACGTTGTTCGGATCTTCATTTCCGCCCAGCTCCGTGTGCAAGGAATTTGAATGCACATGTCAATTATGTTTTGTTGTATTCGCTGTTTTTCAATGGTCGCATTGAGCGCTGCAGCGCTCCAAATTTGATAGCACGTATGTTACTTTGCGCTGCAGCGCAAAAAAATGGTTGTCGTCGTGATGTCGCATCGCGCTGCAGCGCGTGCGCGCTCGTGCTTCATGGGCCTCGGGCTGCAGCCCAGATCAACATTTTTGCTCGCAAGTTGCATGTCCATGCAAGTCGATGTTCACGCGCACGCCGCGCGACAGCTTGTCTCAAGCTGCGGCCGCGCGCCGCATCCGCCGTCGCGCCCGCGGGCTCGCACGTTGCATTCGGCGCTATATATAGCGCTGGCATGGCGCTGCAGGCGCGTCAGGAGGAGCAGATCTTGCAGTGCATCGAGGAAAGCAATTCCTCGGGGAGGTTGGCATCGGGGTGGGATCAACTGAAGGAGTTCCTGCTGGCGGAGGGGCTAGCGTATTACCAGCAGGTCCCACCGAACCAGATGGGCATCGACATTCGGAACCGCAGCGGTTCGTTAGTGAACCCTGCGCGGGCTCACAATTTAGGCGCGAAGATTTGCGCCCAGGGCTTCGTCTTGGCCAAGACGGCTGCAGCCACTGCCTTCGAGGCCCCGCAGGGGGCGCAGTTGGAAGAGACCGCGATGGCGAACGACCGCCTTTCGCGGCTCAGCGGGGGTCGGTGCCCCCCGCTGGACTCATTGCGGTATACGTCAGTGGGCGGCTCCCACACGAACGTCTTCCTCCGCTGCGTGCTGGCCAAGGCGCCGACCACAGTGAAGGCGCTGGCAGACTCTCGGGACAACATCGACTCCGAAAAGCTGTGCGCGTTGCATCCGCAACTTGCGACGGCAGACAAAAAGGGCCTGACGTGGTTGATCATCAAGCACGCGGTGGCCAAAGTCAAGGGCCTCAAGAACTTCGTGCAGAGGGCTTTGAACGCCGACGTCAGGGAGGCGGTTCACGAGACCGAGATCATTCGGTCAGGCTGCAGCCTATCCCCACTATAGTATATAGCGGTATGTAGTAAGGACCAGGATGATGCACGAGGAGGGTGATGAGTGGGAGCGCGTTGGGGAGGAGGTGAGAACGAGGAGCAGGAGCATTATATCTTACCGTGCTGCAGCACTTGATCGGCTCGGCGCTTGCTGCAGGCAGGTGGGCGGATGCTCTTGGCACACAGCCTCGCTGAGGGTTCCAGCAAGCCCGACTGGCGCGACATCGCCGAGCAAGCGGGCCACGCGAACCCACCTTGCAAAGCGTGGGTCGCTGACTTGTGCAAATTTGTTGAGCTCGGGCCACAAAACGGAGAACTTCTCCGTGAAATAGATGAAGCCCTCAAGACCTTCACGAATGTGGACGTCTCGGGGCAAACTTTGATGTGCGGCTCTGAATTCTGGCGCAAGTTGAATTCGATTAAATGGGGGAAGCACCAGGAGTCGTACCCGTATGTCGTAGCGGCGCTCGTGAAGGCCAACTATTCAGGCGAGCACGTGGTGGATAGCATGTGCAGGACCATCCATAAGCTTGTCGGCGCCCCCTTGTAGTGACATGCGCTGCAGCGCATCTATGCATTGCGCTGCATTGTTAGAACTGCGCACCCACCCCTCCCCCCTCCCCACACACACACACGCACCGTTACATTGCTTTATTCCCAAACGCAATCGCTGAAGCGATGGGCGGATCAAGGCAAACGAGATCGTCCACGTCGCGTCCCGCAAGGCGGACGTGGCTGCGGCCGACAACCTCATGGCCGACGCAAGGTCGCTCGTGAAGAGGTTGGATATCGGAGCGGAGCAGGGCTTCTTGCACATCACAAAGTTGGATGTCCGCTGTGCCATGTACCTGGTGAAGAAGCGAGCGCCAGGAGACCGCGCTTTCGGATGCGTAGCAGATATAGCACAGGTATCTTCTCACGCCACCTTTCGTGTGCTCCTTGTTTCCCTCCCTCCCTGCTTTTCGCCATTCAATGTCGCTGCAGCGACCCTCCAGAGAGGTCTTCCTCCATGAGCTCGGGGGGCCAGCCCAGCTGCAGATGAAGAGCTTGGGGATCGAGTTCGGCAAGGCGGTGCAGACCGACAAGCAAGGCGATGGCGCACCCGAGTTCCCAGCGAGCGCCGATGCAGACGCGCCGCGCGCGGCAGCGTCGTCGGCCGCTGAGTTGAAGAGCAACGTCTTCCGCATGCGGCGTGCAGGGTTCGACGTGGGGAAGCACATCGTCCAGAAGAAGGAGGTGGATGACGTCTTCGAGGTGCTCTCCATCTCGGAGAATGGGATCACCGCTCAGAAGAAGTTGCACGGCGACCTGGTGGGCGAAGAGATCTCCATTGCGTGGCTGCAGCCACCCCGCCGCCCGTGGGGAGCAGGGAGGGGGGAGGAGGAGGTAGTAACTGCGATATTGTATTTCCTGTACTTAAGTTGCAATGGGTTGGTCGATGCGCTGCAGCGCACGGAGCAGTTAGCCGAGCGGGCGGATTGAAGTAAACATATTGCTCGAGAATTACAAGTTGACGTCCAGGGTGCAGGAGCAGTTGCCGTTCACGAAGGAGCACTTGCCGCCAGCCCACGAGGGTTGGGCGATGGACGCGTTCAAGGGGGCATGCAACATGGCGCTGCGGCTCCAAGCGCTGAAGTACCAGGCGAACATTTTGCACTTGGAGATCCTGCAGGACCCACCTGCCGTGCGCTGCAAGCGAGCGTTCAAAGTGGGTGAGCTCGTCAGACTTGTGCTTCCGCAATCGTCCGCGCCCCCCTCCGACGACGCCGCGCTGCAGCGCTGCGCTGAGCACGAGGCAGCGAGGATTTCGGGGCACGTCAGGCCGTAGC